CATCATCATCCTCGCCATCATTGTCAACATAATCATCGTCATCGTCCATCATCTCGTCACAGCCGCCATACGCATCATCATCCGTCTCCTACCCTCGCCCTCCTCATACTCTTCTTCCTCCTCCTCCCCTGCTCATCCCCTCTCCTCCTCTGCCTCCTCCTTCTTTGTCTCCACCTCCTCATCCTCCTCATGCTCCCGCCTCCTGCCTCCACCTCATCCTCCTCATCCTCCTCCTCCCTCCCCCTCATCCTCCTCATCCTCCGCACCCCTCCTTCCCCACCAGGGCGGGAAGGGAGAAGGAAGGGAGAAGGAGTAGAGGAAGAACACCTACAAGCGTAAGCACAACTGCTCGGAGGCCCGCGCAGATCTCTCGGGTCGGCGCCTCCTGGCGGCGCCCCTGGCGCCGCTGCTGGCGCGATCCGCGCGCCAGAGCAGGGGGCGGAGGGCTGCGCCGACCCAAGCAATCCGAGCGGACCTCCGAATGCAGTGTTAATGTCGTCTGTTTCTCGGAGGAGGGGACATGGAGGAGTGAAGGGGGGGAGGGGGAAGAAGACGACGAGGTAGGAGGTACAGTCGAGGTACTACCGGAAGGAACGCCAAATAAGGAACAAAGGGGCTTTTCTGGCCACGGTGGGCCAGGACACAAGCAAATCCCGCGACATAATATAAGAATCGACCCAAATCCCCGAGCCCCTTCCGAACCCAAAGCGGTCCTTATTTCAGCGTCTTGACTGTATAGAGGAGTGAAGGGGGGGAGGGGGAAGAAGACGGCGAGGCAGGAGGCAAAGGCAGAAGGGGGACGGAGGAGGAGCAGCAGCAGCAGGAGAGAGAGCAGCAGCGGGAAAGGCAGGGGGAGCAGGAAAAGAGGAAGGTCGGAAGAGGAGGAAGAGGAAGGGGAGGGGGACGGGGAGAGGGGGGGGAAGAGGAAAAAGGGGACACAGCGTTGTCGAATATCTGTCTGTGTCGGAGACTCTGGCACTCTACCACGAGCGATAAAGCACTAGAACTATGATTTGTGGAGCTCCGGTGGATACAAAACCGTGAAGACCTGTGCAAAACTCCAAGCGCCGAGAATACATGATTCTCAGCAGCGGATTCTGGCCGCGGAGATCAACTTATCATTTAAAGATTATGCTGCCGCTGGTAAACTATGATCGGCAGCGGATTTGATTGATTTGTTTTCCCGCATGGCCAAAAAGGCACCAACAGGTGCCAGAAAACTACAGCAAGTCAGACCGCGGCGATCTAAAGCCCCTGACGAGCAAAAAAACTTCCCGTCGGAATGTCGCCTGCGTGTCGAGCCCCCATCGGCCAAGGGGCGGGGCATCCGTGTCCCGATCCTCTGGGTGCGATACGCGCTGGCCACACGTGTCACTGCTTCATCCGAGGGCTCCAACAGACCCATACTCTGCAGGCGGCCCCATAGGATGTTGGAACGGAGGGCAGGAATTGCAGCGCGTAGGAGATGAAGGAAGGAGAGGAGAGCACCAGGAGAACGAGGAAGAGCAGGAGGAAGACGACCAGTCCTGGGCCCGAGGTCGATGTCCACGCCTCCTGGCCTGCGCAGGAGGGCGGTTCCCTGGATCCAAAAACCACAAACGGACATGGCCAAGATCGGTGCAGATGTCCGCCCCCTCCGTCCGCTTCCCTTCGCACCCGTCCGAAGAAGCCTGCCCCTGCTCATCTCGCCATCGCTCGGACGTCCATTCCCTGCGCATCCTTCGGTCTCGTGCGTACATGTTTTCGCATGGTGGACAAACAAATCTACTCGATGGTCCCTGCCAAGAAAAAATGCACACGTCCGAGCGATGCCAAGCCAAGCCCTCCTCATCCTCGCTGGCGGATACGTCTGCGCCCCCTCAGGGAGAGGCGGCATCGCATGGGAAAATCGAGAATCGAATCGAAACCTGCGTCAGGCCGGGCTGTACCGGCACGAACTCAAAATCGAACTGGATCGGCTGCGCCAGGCTGCACGACGGCGCCCATGCAAGCATCGGGCCGCATCGGATCGCCGGGGTATCGGAATCGAATCGGATCGGGTCCGGCTGGAACCGATGTCGAATCCGATCGAACTGATCAAAATGGACCCTGCCCCCCACCTGCGAGTAGAAGAACTTCCTCTCGTGGCCGGCGCCTATCATGTCGATGAACCTCAGGAGCGCCTGGTTGACCTCTCGGGCGGCCCCGCGCAGGCGGGCGAGAGCAGGAGTCCCGAGGAGCGAGCAGATGGGGTCGCAGGAACGCGCGGCACCACCGATGCATCCGCGATGCGGCTCGATGTGGCGCCCCCCGACTTTCTTCACGCTGGCTCCGCCGATGCATCGGCGATGCACCGGCGATGCATAGGCGGTGCGGCGCGCGATCCTCCGACCCCGTCTACAGAAAGCACTGATAGCAAGGAAGCGCAACAAGGATGCCAGGGCCTTGGAGGCCATGTCGGCACTCTTCGAGCGGGGCGCGGCCGGCCACAGTGGCCCAGGATGGGCCGAAGGGAAAGGAT